CAAGTGTCAAGGTTTACCTAACGTAAATCTCACAAGCTTTTACATTTATAAGATAAAGTTTGTTTTTGGTGCAGACTAGCTGGATGTAGCTGGATTACACCGCCCAGCATTATTGACCAATACAGCGACCTCACATTAAAACACAGAGTACTGATTTTGCACGCTGATGTCTTAAAAGCCTAAACCAAAAAAGGACACTAAGCAAAATAAGCCAATATCTAAATGACCCAAGACTCATGTTACAATTTTCTATTGCAATTTTGTATGCACTAGAATATTATCCTGAATGCAGCGATGATATGATACATTGCTGAGTCAAATTTAGGGGAACAATATGCATTTTGTATTAACAAGCATTAACATAAAACACACAGGTGTTTAACATTGGAAAACTGAGCTGTAAGCTGCACATTCATACAGCATAAACTCTTCCATACAGCACAAACTGTCTCTCTGACTTTTGTTAGTTTTGAAGTAGTGGAAAGGATGTTGTATGACATTGTATGGCTTTGGGTGTGTGTGTGTGTGGGGGATGGGGTGGGGGGTGGCTAATGCTTTTCCTATAGACAGAAGCATTGTGTGTGTGCAGTGTAGTCGTGGTGGCCAGAGCCTCTCCAGAGAGGTTTGACTAATAGAGACAGCCAGTGATTAATCATTTCTCCCCTGTGAGAAGCATGCAGCCTAACCCTTCCAAAAGACTATGCGGACCCATGCGCTCCTTAACACACACACACACACACACACACACACACACACCCCTTTGCTCTGCGTCTGACATTTCATCAGTGTGTGTATTGACAGATAGGTGAGTCAGCATATTTCTTCTTCAGCGGTGCCACATTACCAGCTGGGTGCCCACACACACACACACACACACACATTGTCTACAGTTCTCACACAGTATTCTCAGTATATGCTCTGGATAGAATTCAAATTTAATGATATAAAAAAGTGGGAATTTTCAAAATTCTCATACTTTCAAATATACCGATATGGGAGTTCTGTTGATGCTGATGCAGATATGTTTATCCTATTTAGAAACTGTAGAATTTAGATTTACCTGGATTACAGAGAGATGCAGTAAACTGTTACAAATGCAGTAAAATGAATTAAATGTAGACAATTTAACACAGTAGCCTAGCATCGCCTAAACATTCTGCTCTCCAAGAAAGAGTGGCAATGGTATGATTGGGCCCGCCAGGCCTAACCCCTCCTACTTTTGTCATTAGCCTGCCCAAAATACCTGCTCTAATGTATTTTCAATATTAAAATCTTATTAATAAATAAACCAAAGCCTCCAACAAAAATGAACTTGCAAAATATTTGACATATTCTGAATTCTTTTTCTGATAGTGACCAAAGTTCCAGTTTAACCAACAAGCGTAGCAATGAGGCATTTGTTAAGCAATGTGACATCTAAATTGAGCAGAAGTAGGTCACAGAAAAAAAGGATTTTGTCCACCAGCGAACTTGTCATGCCCATCCAAAACAGTAGTCTGCTACTGGACAGAGGGCAGCATTTCTGTGTGTAAAACACCCCCCAAGAGAGATGTGTGTTTGTGTGTGTGTGTGTGTGTGTGTGTTCAGGGTGACAGGTGAGAGGGAGGTGGTTAAGGGTGTGACAGGCGCTCGACCAAGCCATCAGGACTCCATTACTGAGCCTATTGATTGTGTACGGATGAATTAAAGAGCCAGATTCAAGAGGCACACTCTCATTGTCTTCTCACACGCACACACACACACCACTACATGTGAACTGGTCACTCTGTGAACTTCACATCTTGCACATCATTAACATCAGTTCATCAAGCTGCCTGTCATGTCAACAAATAAAAAAAGAAAGCTAAGGAAAGCTGCAACCCGTGCCAGATCAAGAGCCAGGTCTGAGCATTTTGTAAGAAATTTACACATGAAAGGAAAAGTGAAAATAGTTGTTTCGGCCAGAAAGAAAGTGAAGAGTTTTATCAGCCACCCAATTGAATTGCGCTTGCCTTTTGTTTACTCTTGCAGACGGTGATTGCTTTGGCACGACTCAAATTATCTTGTCAGGGCAATAAAGCTGACCACTGCTGAGCCTGGATAGCAGTGAGAGGGGGGGAAGAGAAAGAGAGAGAGAGAGATAAGAGGACAGAAAGAGAAGAAAGGGAGAGGAAGAGAGAAAGAGAGATAAGAAAGTGAGAAAAGAAGATAAAGAGAAAAAGAGAAACGTGAAAGAGAGAGAGAGAGAGAAAGAGAGAGAGAAGGAAAGATACAGAATTTAAGATGAAAGGAGCATCCGGCATTTAATGAAACGATGGGCGATTGCATGGAGGAGAAATGTATTAAAAAAATAAGAGAGAGAACAGGGGTGGAGAAATAGACGAGGGAGCACGGAAAACAAATATAGAAGAGGGAGAGAAAATTAGAAATAGATGTGCGAGGATGCTGCAGGAGAGAGAGAAAGAGAGAGGGGGAGACAGAGGCGCAAGGAATTGTAATCGATTACCTATTTTTCAAAGTCACTTAAAGTGTCCAGAGCACGCGGCCGTTAAGTAGTAGTACTGGGGAATAGAGGTTGAGTATGCAGCGGCACGACTGCAGGAACGCAGAGGGAGGGAGAGAGAGAAGGAGGTGGAGGATCTGTGTGTGTGTGTGTGTGTGTGTATGTGTGTTAGCCAGCATGCTAACATTGACCCTGCTTGCTTCTCACTGATGGATCTGTGCTCTTGCAGGAAATAGTTCTGACAGGCCAATATGTGTGGGGATATGTGCCCCCAAAGGGACCCTGCCACACATCGGTGTGTGTGTGTGGGTGGGAGGAGGGAGTGTTACTGATCCATCACCCACTCAAACAGTAAACACATCATGTGAAGACAAACACAACAGTGCCCTCTGAAGTCAAGGACAGGCTCAGGCTGAGCCAGGGGCTTTATATAGAGAGGGGTTGGATTAGCCTGAGCATGTGTGTGTGTGTGTGTGTGGTTGTGTGAGTTTTCCTTTGTTTGTGACAACTCTTCTCCTGGGTTACCTCATCATTCCAATAAAAATAACCTTTGGCCTTAAGGCCTAGTAGCTGATAACCTTTCTGCTTCTAAAGTAGCACTCACACACACTTTCCCCAGCACAATACACACATTGCCATATAGTGTGTATGCTCACACTTCAATTTCATATTAAGTACATATCTTACAAATTTCATATTAGCTACATATTAGCTTGTTAGATTTACTGAAAAAAATTTTGTGGTTACTGGGGCTGGGTTAAAAATGTTCTATATTTGTGCCTTGATTTTGGATATTGTCTCCTAACCAATGTTTTTCCAATACATTCTTTTTCATTACAGACCAACAATGGGTGTGGCTTAACCCAGAAATGAGTATGAGTTGGTGAAAGTGGGTGTATTTACTAATTGTAATGGATTGCATACTAATCAAGAAGTACTTATGTTAATAACATGCATATGGAATGTATTTCAGAGAGTCAATCAGCAGTCTAAATTTTAGAACAAGCATGTGGTGTGGTGGCTAATGTAAAAGTATTGTATTTCGATATCCAGCCCTAGTAGCTACTGAATAATTATGTACTTTGTGTTAAGTTTATGTGTTAAAGAATGAACTTTATATTCCACAGCTGTTATCTTCACATCTATCATAAACAAAGACCTACGGTGGTGGGAAATTGTAGCAGACAACACAGCAATTAACTGGGGCCTTTGCAGTTATATATAGATTTATGTGTAGCACGTGTGAAATGACTGGGGACAGGTGGGGACAAGAACAATTTCCTCACTTCCTGTTTGTGGATACACAGCGTGTGTGAACTTCTATGTGTATTTGTGTGTTTGGGATGAGGTAAGCTTGTATTTGCTTATCACAATGTAGTCGGTTAATAATGGCTAGTCCATCCAGGATGTCCTGTTCAGGGGAGGGCCTATTGTGCCGGCTGCTAAAAATAGTTGTTCTGATTGGCTGTCTCCAGGTGTGTGAGCTGAGAGACAGCAGTGGAACAGGACGTCTCCGAGTTATGGAGAAAGCGTCTTGGATTATTTTCTACATTTCTACATCAGTCCACCTGATTTTATATACAAGATGCGAGTTTATAAAAATGTGCACGTTCACATGCAAGAGGGGTAATTAAGGTTGAATTATGTTTCCTTAGGAAATGATTCAATGCATGATGAAATCTCAGATTTCAAGGTTGCAAAACGTTAGTAATAAAAGTGATTATACTATAAAAGCGCTACATTCTAAAAAGGCTTCAATCAATTCTGAAAAGCGTTGGACCACTTTGCTATTCAGCTTGGATCAAATAGAGCTGTCAGCCAGTGTCTTATTGCTCTTCGCCTTTCTTTGGATTTATCTCACTGATGTGTGGCGACATCATAACATCCTTTACCTCAGGTCTCTCTCACACACATGCACACATTGCAACACTAGATTTTGTTGCTTGACTTGTTTGAAAGTATTTCTTACTTTGGAAACTGTTCTCTACTTCTGTCGCATTGGCTTGTATTGAAGCAGAAGTTGAAGTTGTCAAAAGCTAAGCTAATGAAGTAAAGCGGAGCTGCTGGCGAGAGTCAGTGAGCTTCAGTAAGTTAGTATGTGCTCTGTGCGGCTGCTGGGCTGACTGAGCCTGCCTCTGCGGCTGCTTTAATGAGGGAACAGGAGACAGGAGGCAGAGGGTGACGGATTCTCCTGCTGCTGAAATCCCAGCCACTTAATCCACACGCACACACAACCCTGAGCAACTTGGAGCTCTCCCCCCTCTGCCCTTCAACACACACACACACACACACACACACACACACACATACAGCTCTCAGTCACTCTCTTACTGCTCCTCACTTCACTCTCTGCTGTGTAAAATCAGATTCAAATACTGTACTGCTTGACTGGGCTGACAATGGAAAGAACATTTAGAGTGTGTTTCAGAAGTTTTGATGTAGGTCACTTCTCTATTCACAGTTGACTCTCTGTCTACTGTTCCCTCTCTCTGTCTACTCTTCCTCCTCTCTCTCTCAGGCAAGAAGAAGGTGTCTTTGTATGACAGCCAAGCTCCGATCTGTCCGATCTGTCAGGTCTTGCTGCGCCCTGGAGAACTGCAGGAGCACATGGAGCAGGAGATGGAGAGACTCACCCATTTGCACATCAGGTAGAGCACATACACACATTTGTTTTTGTGCTCAGAAGTGGGGTCGTACATGCGTCCCATATGTATTACATGCATTGTCACTGTTGTAACAAAACCTGATAGCAACTTTATAGGATGGGTAAAAGCATTCTTAACAACAGTGTTAAGTGTTGCCAGTCATAACGAAATGTTTGCTCAGTAAAACAGTGTAAAAGCTTTTGTTTTCAATTGGTGTAAAAAATACATTTTGTAGGTTTAGATATGACAGCAAGAATATGGAAGTACCTATATGTAATCATATTTTTAGACCTAATCTTAAATCAAATACTAACCTTAATCTCAGTAATAAAAAGGAAATTCCGCTTTGATGAATGAAATATGTAGCTTTTGTAAGAAGTCCATTTTGTTCCTCCTGTCAGATTAGGTTAGTCCTGTTTTTCTCTGGTTTTACTACAAAGTCAGGACATTTTTGTCCTATGGCCCCAGTATCAGCTCAGGTAGCCACCTTTCCACTGTAGAATGGTTTGGGCCTGACTCTCATAAATCAGCTCGTGGTGCTGTCAGGGCTTTGAGCAAGCCAGGTTAAGCATGTCAGGTGGATCAGAGAAATCCACACAATGCCCCATCACTCACCAGGTTAACCTTTCAGACACAGCAACATGGCACAGGACACAACACTACTCAGCTGGAGATGACATGAACCCCCAGCATAGCATGATATTAGCTCACCAGGCTAAAACATTCTGCTCTTCCTCTGCAGCTGCTAGCACTTCCCCTGCTGTGTTACTTCTGTGGTGGCCCATATCAGGCAGGAAGTCTCAGTCTCCAAAGCAAGGCTCAGTAGCCACAACATAAACAATGTGGAGTATATCTTTAGGCCACAGAGAGGTCAAACACCAAGTTTTGTCCGTATTGTTAGGAACGTGGCTTGACTTAGAAGTCTAGAGTCGTTACTGTTGCTTGCTATGCTATTTAAATGTAATTACGTAATTACATTAATAATAATCACAGTATGCTTATATTTGATTTATATCACCTTATTAAAATAATAATAAAATATATCCTCATCTACTTAAGAATACAAATATCAATTGAAAGTTTAGCGTCTACTCTTTCTACAGAGTTCTTGTTTTAATGAGGGATCTGTGAGTAATTGCTAAAAAAAAAGTGTGTACACTCCGAGGGAAATAGGAGAGTTAGCTAAACAAATCACATTCCACTACAAGCATATATTGTCCTACCCCTTCCTATCCTATATGCGTCAGGGCTGAAAGAGGGAGTAAGAGAGAAAGAGAGAGTGCAAGGGAGAGAGAGAGCGCTAGCAGGAGCGATAGTTATCCATCAGGGAGGAGTTATGGTTTAATAATTAATAAAGGGCAGCGAGCGGCCCTCCCCTGTGGCCAGCGGCAGCGGACTTAGCCCCTACTGCCTGGGTCTGGTGGATGGCGGAGGTTATTTAAGGAAATGGCGTCATCGCTCCTCGTTTGTCAGCGGTGGACACTCCGAAGCATCTCTGGGCTGTGATTTAGCCCGGCTCGCAATGCTCCCATTAACCCCCATGCTGTAGTCATCTGAGTTATAACCCCAGCACGCTCCTACCACCACTGCTGAGCAAGGACTTACACTAAAGAGAGAGAGAAAAGGAAGGAAGGAGACAAGAGGGAATAAGGAGGAAAATAATTGAATAAAAATTAGGGGGAGACTGAAACCAAGGCTTTTCTGCTATTGCTGAGTTTGTTCAAACCATTAGACAGAGTTTGTACCCTACAGGAGATGTAGCAAATGTTATGTTAAAGAAGTTGTTCCTTCTGGAAAGTTACCAATGTTGAAACATGAGATTTTCTTATGACAGTGATGATAATAATCATCAAGATTTATAAAGAACTTTAATGCAATCCCATCTATTTACCAGTATACAATGAAACAAAAGAACATTTCTCATGGGCTTTGGGTACAAGTGAAGTACGTTAAATTACATTGAATACAGCTAGAACAACTAGAGCCTCAAAGGATAAGAATAAATAAATAATGACCTTGTGAGTTAGCATATGTCTTATTACCTCCCCATTAGACCTATTAGACCTCTTGTTATCCCGATTCTATTGGAATTCCCATTCAATTGTACACTGACATGACTCAGGCAGTAATAAACAGTAAAGAGGTGTGGAACGCCTCTGTCTTTGCCTTAACATTCCACTAAGCAAGGCTGTGTGCTGCACACACACATACACACACACACACACACACACGCACACACACATTCACACATACACGCACACAGATCATTGGAAGTGACATGGTGAATTTGTGGCAATTTGTAGTAAATCTCCCTCTAATGATACCGTTTCGTTGGGCCGCAAATGAGAACGGAGTGCATGTAAAGTGGAGAAGGCTATTTAAGATGTAGCATTAGGCAGATGTCTGGATGGATGTGGGTGAGTGTGCCTGAGATTGGGACTGCCAGATTTCTAGATCTCCCTCTCTTTCCCTCTCCATCTCTCTCCTTCTCGCTCTCTCTTTCTCTCTCTCTCTCTCTCTCTCCCCTGTGGCTGTCACCTCTCTCATTTTCTGGCATGTCCTCCGCTCCTCATGTATGGAAATGGAAATCCATCATGGCCTTTACACATCCGCCTGCACCGCCAGCCACAGCAATCTACATATCGCCCCCGCCCCTCCAACCCCTCCACGTAATCAATTTGCCTCCAACAGAGCGAGTGAGAGCCAAGTGGCAAACAGCACCAAAACTAATCTTTATCTCCACAGTACAAAACCCTATTGTCAACTGGTATTTAGTCAGTTTTCAACATCTCCCTCACCCTCACCAGCCTCTCATTCTCCCTTTTCTGTCTCTCTCTCTCTCTCTCTGTACCTGGTTTCAACAATCAACCCCCAAGCTTGGTTTGTCCAGAAAGTGCTTTATTGCTTTGTTGAAATCTAGAAGCATGGATTATTAATAGTATTATTATTAACAGTATGTGTCTGCAAGCTAAAAGTTGCACATGAAGTCCTATCAAGTCAGTGCTTTAGAAACAGTTTTGTTACCTGAATTTTTGATTTGTTACTAATCTTTAGCCTTCTATCATGAAAAGGGCAGTTTCAGTGGTCAATAACAGATAATTCTTTATTTTACTAAATATACTTTAAGCAGACACTGATTATGCCTTAGACATATATTTACATCGAGACCAATCAGCCATAATATTAAAAGTGGCCCTTGTGCTTGTATCCACACTCATTGTCTATTTTATCAGCTCCACTTACCATATAGGTATATTTTTTTGTAGGTCTACAATTACAGACTGTAGTCCAACTGTTCCTCTGCATACTTTGTTAGCCCCCGTTTACCCTGTTCTGTTTCTCACTACAAAGCACTTAAAACTGATGGCTTTATAATTCTGACTTTGTTAGAGGGAAACAGAATGGAAAGCCAACATTAATCCTTCACTATAACCTTAATAAAAAAAGCCAGTTCCCATATATTTGTCGCCTTCCTTCTCCTTATAACCGCAGTCCATGAGGCGAAGTTAGGGTTGTTTTTTTTTTAGTTATGTGTATCTTTGTTCTGGTGTCTCGTTAGCGAAAGCGAAACTAAACCTCTGTGTCTCCTCTGTTCCTGCTCTCCCCGCCTTTGTCGCTTGTATCAAAACGGGCTTCAACAGCATGACAGGAGAGACTGAAAGCTAGCGTCGATGCTTTCACGCCAACATCCCCTCCGACATGCGGGAAAAGTGTCTCCAGCCCTCCTTCTGCATCTCCCACTCTCACTGTCTGCGTGTCTCCTTTCATCTCTTCTCTATCTCCTTCCCTCCCACCCACCCCCCATCTTTCTCTCTCACCTACCTGTCACTTTGACAACAGGGCCTCAACATCGCCTCTCCTTGTTTTTGCTCTCTGGCAGTGATGGCTGCCTCTTAACAAGTCATTCTCTCTCATTGTCACCATGCAGGTTGAAGCAATAAAGAAGGGGCAAAAAAAAACTGCACACGACACAGACCGTACCCCTACTGCTCCCCCTTGTTTTGAGGATGTGTGCGACAAGGCCTGTTACTGTTGTTGTGACTGTAGAGTTGGATTTTCTGTGTACAGAATAGACCTAATCTCAATCTGAGCAAATATTTTGACTGAATAGGTTGTACTGATATTCTACATAGAACACTAAAATAAATTTCAAAGAACGCTTTGTTCTTTGAAATGTGTTTAAGGGGCTCTTTGCTTTGTGAAAAGGTTCTTTAAGTTAATGCAGAATGTGCTGTAAAAGGGTTCTTCTATCGTTACAATGACAAGCTTGTTACAATAGAATAACCCTTTTTGGTGCTATATAGAGCCCTTTTCAAAAAGGCTGCATGTAGAACCATTCACAGCACATTCTGCATCCATTTGAAGAACACTTTCACTGTGCAAAGAACCAATTAATCATGCAAAGGGTTCTTTGATTATTCATTGTTCTATTTAGAACTATGTTATTTATCAAATAACCCTTGAGGAACCATCTTTTGTAAATGTGTAGATACTATTATCTTTCAATGCTAGGGCTGAACTATAAATGTTGTGCAGAAACACTATAACTATATCCTTATAGTCAATGGTACCAATCAAAACTTTGGACATACCTCTTTTTGCCACATTTTAGAGTAATACTGAAGACATAAAAGCTTTGGAAGAACATATAGAATTACTACAATCAGAAGTATTGGCCTTCAGCTAAATAGGACTATTTAGTCCTAATCACCTCATCACAGCACACCTGATTGGCACAAACACATTAACAAGGACAGACAAATTAACTTTTAATAAGGTACTACATTTAGATTACTTATTAGGATGATGTATAATTGTGGGTGAATATTTTCTCCAATTTTCTCCAAATTTCACAAAAGTTCTCTTTTGAAAACGTGGGTTAGATGTTGTCTCTGGTAGACGAGAGTGTGTTTTCAGCTTAGGCCTGCTGGCTGGTGTAGTGGAGCTGAGTTGTGTGTGTGTGTGTGTGTGTGTGGAGGGGGGGTATTGGTTGAGGGGAGTGTGAGTGAGGGCTAGTGAGATCTGAGGTGCCATACAGGCGGATTTATGATGCCGGAGGAGTGCGTTTATTATCTCACAACCAGTGCACTGCCTCTGATGGGGCAATTTATCCTCTTTCAAGGCCCTGCCCTGATTTGTGTTGTCTCTTTCTCTTCCTCTCTCTCTCTTTCCATGTCTCTCTCTCTATCTCTCTGCTCCTGACTTGTCAGATCAATCATGTTGACTACACAAGAGACAGACATAAGGCTTATTACCTGAGCGAGGGTGCGTTGCCAACTGCCCAGCCTACCTTTACCTCTCAGCCATGATCATGCAGCCTCCGATGCTTTTTTGAACGAAAAAGTTCAGAAAAAAAAATCTGATTTGCTTAGTTTTCCACAACAAAAGTAGATGAATAGCCAAAACGCGTGGTGTCTCACTTTCTGAATTAAATTTGAAATAGAGCTATAAAAATAATGTAGCATTGTGCAAACTGCATGACTAAATTTACTAGCTGTTAAATATTCTCAAATATTCTTTCTCGTGACTTGATAGGTTTCTGATACCATATGACATACTGTTATCTATAAACGTAGACAAAAGTACAAAACTGAGGTTTCTTGATGGATGATGTTACTGTTTTTTAGCTGTGCAGTGCATAGTTTGTCGGAAACCACATAACTTTAAGCTTTGTACTTAAACTAAAACTAAAGTACAATTGAGATTATTTAACAGTTCAACATGAATGATAATTTGTACAAAGTTTATTGGTGGGATAAATGTTTTCATTACTTTTTAGTTACATTAGCCTCTCAGCTACTGTGAAAACTAAAGAATCAAACTTCAGGCTTGAAACATGTCTTGACTGATGGACTATGTTCAGGGTAAGATCCCATCCGTTTCCCATGTTTAATCCAACATCAAATGGAGATGATGTTTAAATTGGTTACTTTTTTGTAACATTTTCGCTCTCCTTCCTTTGTTAGGCCCTCGTCCTCACTGTTTCTCCTCCCGCTCCCCCTCTCTGTTCGTTCACGGCAGGGACAAGCTCGACTGCCAAATCACGTTGTTGGATTAGGGCTCGAGCAAATTCAATTTCAGTGCCTCGGCAGCGGCCGCCGCGGGTCCACGAGTGAACGTGGGACACAAAGTGAACATGACAAGGGTGACGTTTCCCCCCTGTCAGAGCGGACCACCTCATCATCACACAGCCTCATAAATGCCCAGCCACAGCCTACAATACAAACAATACAGAAAGAGAGGGAGAGAAAGAGAGAAGGACACAGCGAGCGAGAGAGAGAGTATAAACATGTGTATATATATTTTTGCTCAGTATCATTAGCACAATTAATATTAAAACATTTCTTCTATTGCTTTGGCAACAATACTGGCATAATTGCAGTCCGTGCTAATAAAACCATTCATGTGAGAGAGAAAGAGAAATAAAGATAAAGAGACAGCTGGAATGACAAACTAGAAAACACGCAGAGAAGGAAAAAAGTTCAGAATGAAAGGCAAAAGAGACACGAGAATGATTGTGCTTTTGTGTGTGTGTGTGTGTGTGTGTGTGTGTTTGAGAGAGAAAGAGAGAGAGAGAGAGAAGAAGAGAGACAGGGAGGAGGAGATGGAATAAGGGATATTAATGTTTGGGGTAGAGATGTGATTTGATATGTCTCTGCCTATTGTCGGCGGACGCTCGAGCCGGCCCGTTTAATATTTCCTGCTTTCTAATCAGTCATCTTCAATCGGCCAGGTCCATGAGGCGGGGGTTCAATGTAGCCCCCTCTGGCCAAGCCCGAGGGGGAGGTACGCTAACCCCCTCGTCCCACCTCCTCCTCCTCTTCTCCGCTCCCCTCTGCCTCCTTAATACAATGTTTACAAGCCTGCGCATTGTCCTCAACATATTTCAAAAGCCCTAAGTGCCCAAGGCGCTTCACTGACAAATCAAATAACAGCAAAATCATTTATTTCCTCCTGCCTCAGCCAAACTGCGAGAGAGAGAGAGAGAGAGAGAGAGAGAGAGAGAGAGAGAAGGAGGTTCTGAAGGACTGGATGAGCGCATCCATGAGAATGATTACTTCAATAAAAAAATTATAACCCAAATCTGCTTAGCAGAGGTACTTTTGGACAGTAATTGTTTCAAATACAGCATCGCCCTGGGCTGCCAGGATTGAGTGGCACAGAGGGCAGGGCTGAAACAGCTAAAGCCTGCTGTTGCTCTTTTTTTCTCATCTACACATGATTAAAACCGTGATTTGTGTAGCTTCATGCACTTTTGTCACTGCTGTCCTTTCTAATGCCCGCTCACATCTGAAGCAACGGAGAGCAAATTCTGAGCAAAAGTGAGTGGTCAAGAGCTTTCTGAGGAAGGGGGACTAGATCAAATGTGATTTGTTCCTGCCACGGCCAGAACCTTACCTGCACATCACCTCCTAGACGTGCCTCCATCTAGCACTGGCCTCACATTGTCACTGGGTGGTTGTCATCATAGGCAGAATTTGGGTTTCTTGTGGGGGGGTGCAACAAGTGTTAACTAATGCTTTTATGTGTGCACACAGGTACTGAGCCTACTGATATGCACAAACACTGAGACTCATGCCAGTTATTAAACAGCATATTGTCTTAACTACCACATAGGCTAACTCAGCTAACTTGCCATTGCTTGTTTGAATTGTGGTCTGAAGAGGCGACAGCTTCATCTTTAGCTGTTGTTTTAGCTTTAGTAAAGAAACAACGAATGCCCATTGTGTTTTAAATTAGGGGTTGTTGGCTAGCTAAATGGTAACAAAGTGAAAGCAGAACAGGACATTATTTTCCCGGTAATTCCACCATTCTACCAGTTTAAATAGACAAATGAGACATTCATTCTTTTGACATTTTTTTCGTTTCAATTGAATTTTAACACAACAAAGCAGTGTCAGCTCTGGGCAGCAGGAGACACAGTGATATTGCTTTTCTTTTACACCTATGGTTTTCATAACAATGTTTGCATTCTTCTGAATGTTCATCATGTCTTCTTTTCCTTCTCTCTACAGCAAGAACCCATCACACAAGGATATCACAGCACCAGGCACACCCAAGGTAAGATGGCCGCTGCCATGCAGCTTTTTCGACTCTGCCGCAATTAGTGGCAATAAGAGCCCTTCTCTGTTCTATTAGGGCATATGAAGAGCCCCACTTAACTGAGAGAGAGGGATTATGTGAATGAAAACTTCCTCAAATGGTCCTTTATTTCCTGCAGTAATGTACTTATGGAAAAGTGAGAGCTGGAGACGGTTTCCTGCCGTTCTTTTTAACAGTTATATGGTAACGACGCCAGCGAGAATGAGTTTATTGTTCTTCTCAGTCTTAATAGGATGTGAAGGAATCATGCACTGGCCTATGCTCTTCTGACTCTTTGATTCAGGATTTTTCAATTCATTTGGATCAAGTTGTTTAAAAAAGAAAGGAAATCATACTGTCTGAATATTAAAATATCGTTGACAAAGTTGGCAGAGAAAGGAGGGAAGAAGGAGAGATTTATGACATTTCAAATCACAGGAGACGTGCCAAGTATGGAGGCCCACTTGGCACAAAAGATCGATCTTATCATCGACTTCTGAGATTTGCTGATTCACATGTCCTTCCCAGAGCTGGAGAATCTTCCCTATCTCCCAGCGACCTGTGCACCTGATTAGATAGAGCTTTTTAATATCAGCACAGACCCACATCAAACCTTACCTGTAAAAGTGACACTCTAGGCTCACTGAGCTGTGCCTTTTGCTGTATCTCTCTTCAAATGCCATCAGGGGACATTCCTTATCCAAAAAGAACACTTAAAAAGGTGCAATGATTTTGATAAATGGTGCTTGAAAGATCAATTCATGATGTTATTGCAGTCTGGAAGACACTCGTGGGCTGAGACATAGGGAAACTAGAGCTTTAATCGCACATTAAATTTTACACCCAAACCCAGTATAGACCAGGAACAAATCCAGACCCAACCCATGACACTATGTTTTAAATACTAAATTCTTTCAGAACCACACTGAAGGTGAACAAAATTCTGTCAGAAGCTGACTGTAGCCCCGGAAAATTCTATCAGAACTCAACAGTATCCTGACAAAATTTTGTCAGACCCCAACTGTATCCCAACAAAAAATTGTTTAAGACCTAACTGTATCCCAACAAAACTATGCCCAAACCTAACTGTATCCTGACAGAATTCTCCCTGAGATCAACCACAACCATCCAGAGACCAAATGAAACTCCACATTCCTAAGGTTAAGTTATCTTGTATCCACAATGCCCAAATCAGAATGATTAGCTCGATTATCAGCTATCCAAAATTAAGTTAAAATTCCACTTTAACTAAAACAGCAGTAATTGTAGAACGAAATCCAAGGGGTCAAAAACAAGAAATGAGAAACCAAAAAGGTCTGAGACATGGTATGAGACCCCCAAAAAGTTCGGAGATGGACTATGAGAAATCTGAAGGCAGCCTGGTAAATATTAAAGAAATAGTGTCCAAATCTGGCCAAACCCAACGTGAATAGCCAGGTTCCGTTTGGGCAAATGTGACCCATGCCTAGTGAAAACTGGGCAACACTGGTGAGGCAGACAAAGGGGGTTGGGGTAGAGAGTCTGGGCCTGACGGAGCATTCCACAGCCTGCGTTTAGTATTCCGCAGCAGTGTGTGGAAAATGAAGAGGCTGACTGGGGCTAGGGTTTGGGGAAGGGGAGGGCGCTAGTACAGGCTAGCTGATGAATTGGGCCCGGCATGCCGGTTCTAAAGGGGATTAACCCTGCTTTGGCCCAGTTCGCTTTTATTCAACTCTCCAGCAGCCATTGCCATAGCGACACCATGCCAGCCCAGGCTGGTACTAATCCAGTGGTTCAGAGGCCAGCAGCAGCACTTAGTAGACTCTCCTTCCCATCAAACCTGAAATGAATAACTCTAATCAGACTCAAGATAAAAGCAGTTGCAACCGTTGTCATACTTAAATGTCATTATTTGGAAATTTTCCAGTGCTGGTAGCTATGAATGATTAGAAATTCTCATATTATGATGGGACTGTTCCATTTTTCATACTCAATATACTGCACGGCTATGTAAACGGTTTACATGCACACATACACACACCCTCTTTCTCTCTCTCTGTCTTGCAGTGACGCACACAATATTCCCTAAGCTCCAAAGGCTTTGAGTTCACAAATAAATTGTTTCCTGACCTTGCAATTCAAAAGCATAAGAAGCCATGCATAATGTCTAATTTACTGTCCCCGTGGAGCGTGCCTGCCATTTTTCACGTATTAATATTAGATTACAGTTGTCACCCACTAAAGCCGCCACCCCTACTCTCACTTTGATTAATTGGAGCAGATTGTAAATACAAATATTTTATAGCGAGCTCATAAAAAACTGGACGGAGATCAAGACTCCCAGTAAAGTAGAGCAGCATTTCCCCTCGTGCCTTTCTGCAGTCATCTGAGAAATTAAGTCAATTAGGTTTTCCATGAGACAGACCAGTAATGTTTCTCAGGGCTCTTGATAATAGATCGGCGTGTCCTGTAACGTTATCTCGTGTGATGTCCTTTTATCCCTCAGCCCGTTCCTGCTTTAATACTGGTGTTGATCAGACATGTGCAGAGTGTTTTTCAGTCTGTGTCTTGGTAGCATAGCATAATGGCAGTGATATCAGTGGTGGCTAGTGTTTTATTTTTCTATGTAGGGCTATGCCATACCTAGCTCTAGAACATTTGAACACTTTAACACCATGCAACATGGCTAGGTTTTTACCTATATATGGAAAAATAGGGGAAGAGTTCAGTTCAGTGTAGAGTCAAATGTAAGCTCTGAAGTAAAAATCCAGCTAGCAATAATTTAGGGTGACCATGTACTTTTTTTGGGACCTAGAATGCGACCGGCTGGGATTTCTAAATTGCTTAACATGTCCAGGATTTGGCTTGGCTTTCATGTTAATATTTGCTTTCTGCTGTCAGCCCTGTGCTCCCCTCCTATCAGATGTATTGCTGTAGTTAAAATGGAACCTTGTAGCCACCAATCAGCAACACGCAACATACATTTGTCGATTTTTATAGATAACAGCATGTCATAATGTCAGACAGTGTGCAGATTTATGTTGTGCTTTTTTGTTCATGTAACTTTGCACATAACATAATTTAAATTCATGAAGTGAGGTGATTAGTTAATTTTGTAAGGCACATTTTTGACCAGGAGAAAAATACTCAGAATCTTCCGGTAATAGTGATCCATCAGAAATGTTGAATGGGGAGCATGTTGCCTTCAGTTGACCTGGACAGCTGGTTCAGCTGTCAGCTTTGGCTACACAGGTTATTCACTGCTTGAGAAAGTCGAGATGTTCTCTTAGTTTTTTTTTTCTGCAGGAGCAGGGCTGTAGATGACATGTTTATCCTGTGGATGACTGCAGACTGCTCATCTCTCTCCCTCTCTCTCACTCTCTCTCTTTCTCTCGCGTTCCTCAGTCTCTCCTGTTGTCAGTGCACATTAAGCGTGAGGGCGAGTCTCCAGTCATCTCCCCGCTCTCCTCCGACGATGCGCACCATTCTGACAGATACCAGGTGAGACAGAGGGCCTCACACATGCATGGCAAGGAACACACACACACTCACAGCACTGATGCACATTCGCCAACTCTTTCACAAACTCTGACACGAACATGCAGATACGAAACACTTTATTTAAGTGAGATTCAAATCTGGTGGCAGGCTGAGATAGAAGATGACAACTGCCCGTTGACATACATTAAGATACCAAACAAATGCTTTACCCTGAAGTAAAGATTTTGGAGATAAGCGTACAATTAAGCGCAATGTCAAGTTAAGGATAGATTAGATACATGTGCTTTTGTGTGTATATGTGTTGCTGCCTTTCTCCATAATATTCTCCATCTTATCCCTGAATGGATCTGACTGCTGGCCATATTAAGAGCGAGTTAGATCTGCTGCCTCGATCTTCAGCTGAAGATTTACTCAGGCTGTAATGTGTGCCCTGCTCTGATATGTAATCATGCATGGTTTAACCCCGGGGCTAATCTCCGTTGGCCCCAGGCGCACCATGCTGCCTGCTATAACGTGTCCTTGAAATGTTTGTTTCCTGCTTTCTCCTCCCCTGGAGTCACAACTGGGTGGGACTGGGTCTCTCACCCCCAGCCAGGGAATGATGTCCTCTGCTCCAAATGGGCAGTGTCCTGGTAGCTCAGAACTAGGGGTAATTGTACCCCAAGGGGTACATGAACAGTTACCAGAGGGTACAAAAAAGATATTTTATTTACAAAAGAAAACCATATCTGTCATAAAAAAGACCCAATTCTTATAAATACTAAAATAACAAACAAAATATACATATAAATATATAATAAAATTGGTGCAGTTTTGGTTTCCTACTGATCTGTGATTAAGATTAAGGTGTGAAACTAACAAGCAAAGCTAGATCAAATTTCAGTTAAATTTCAGTTCATTAAAAAAGGGTTCACAGTCAAGCATTACATCTGTACATCTGGTGCCTTTCACAGTCCATTGGAGACTCTGGAGTCTTGTTTCTTTTATATTACACATACAAATGCATTGTATTTTTAGATTTGCAGGTGTATTTGAAAATAATAATAATCTAGTCTACATATTGTGTATTTGCACACTGTGTATCTATATATTTAATATTTTGTATTTACACGTTTTATTTATATTTACAGCTAAATACATCTATAGAAATACATTTAAGTTAACGAATATATAATAATAATAATAATAATAATAATAATAATAATATTCAGTAAGTTTGTTTCATTCATATTTACAATTCATTCATATAAATTCATTTGTACTTACAAATGTATTTGTAATAATAATAATAATAATAATAATAATAATAATAATCTCGTCTACATTATCGTTTATATTTATGCATACATACATTTATAGAAATATATTTATATTTAAACATAGTTAGTTATTTAAATACCTTTCTAGAAGTCAGCCTACATTTACACGCTGCTGCTCCCTAGTGGCGGCGGAAGGAACTTCATGTTCAACTCTGACGCGCAGGTCATGTGATCCGTACCAACATGGCGTCGGCGCAGTGAGACGAGCCCCTTGCTAACGCCAATGTTTTCAATCCTTCTGCATCCTTCTTAACCTGAAAACACATCTGTTTATTAGCATGAGAAGGATGATAAACACCTCGTAATACATTTAACGTCATGCGTTTTTGGACTTTTACTTTGTTTTCGCGACACGAGTAGAAATGGAAGAGGAGGTGCAAGCAAATGGCAAAAGAGAAGTAGGTTCACTCTCTTAATAAATATGTTGCACAATCCGCTTCAATCCAGTGATGTGCGCCTCATAGAGAGCCGCGGAACACACGCAGCGTGAACTTTGCAAACTGACTTAGAAGTTTTGTGTTTTCTTTTTCTCTTCCCTGCAGACGTTTTTACGGGTGCGGGCAAACAGGCAAACGCGACTGAATGGTACGTATTATTTTCATTACTGGTGAAAGGGGGAAATTTCCTGTTTTAGGTTTTAAGCAAACCGAGCCTAACTACATTACGCCTAAATACGCTGGTCTATTTATGCTAAGTAGGTTCGTTTGAGTTCAAATCGACTTTATTCTTATCTGATACACTTAGTTACAAAAAGGAAACCTCTTTAGTAAGTGGAATTTCTCAGCTTTGGTTGGGAAACAAACACAAATGAGACAGAAATAAATGAATACAGTCTAAATTACAGAAACAAGAAATGAATATGCTGATCTGTGTTTAAATGATACATTAATGCAGACAGCTGTATCTGAGGTCCAGTTATTAATTTTAGGGAGTCTTGGACCAACAGTCGGTGACTTCTATGTTCGGTGATGATCATATCTATATTGTTATCAGATGCGAAATATCTGGTCATGAGAGACACAGCATTACATTGTAAACCCATTGCAAAATTACACAATACCATTGTCGCTTTTTCTGATCAGTGTTTTGTGTTGGTATCTGGTACCCCAAATCTTTAGGCTGTGATGTGAGGTTTGTTAGAATTTAGTGAAGCTTGGCCTTGACGCCAGTCAAGTTGATCTGCTGTCTGGGGTTTGGGGGTATGACAGGTGTGATAGTCATGATGGACTGATTGAAGATGCTGGGGGTCTTGTGAGCTACAAGGGCACTCGGACGCTCTGATTTGGCCTTTGTCAGGATCTGGAGTGGAGCCGGGCTCCTCACACCTCTCAGAGTGCATCAGCCAAACCCTTGTCACAGCACACACAGAATGATCTTGCCTAAAGCTTACCATATCACCAGGTTAATGTAATGGGTCTTTTGCATGGTAGCATGGGGTGCCCGAACTCGAGACTCAAGTTTGGATGGGAACTGCTATGAGGTGTTGCAGTTTTCCAGATGTAAGAGGCTTAGATATTGCTATTCTAGGGCTTCAACAAGTGAGCAAAATCTATGACGTCAGTTAAGCCAAAAAAAAAAAGAAAACTCTGTTGGCATCTTGTTTACTTGAAAACAAGTGCTTTGCCTTTGCACTGTTCATATTTTACATAGACATTTCATCAAATGCAATCAGTACACTACAGGAAGTTGATATGGCCTTCTATTGTTTCATTATAAAACAAGAAATTGCTTGTTGAACAGACATCACTTTGAATGATGACAGTGGCAAAAGGAGAGAAAATGACATAAGTAGTATAATCAGATTACAGAAGTAATTATTAGTTGCAGCTTTATAAGCCTGTATTAACCGAACCTATCCTAGGTCCAGAAAACTGGCCCCAGTTTTTAAATGGTCAAAATATGGCCTGAACTAATGATAGGGGTTCACCAATGAATTACATGAAATACATCTTATCTTATCGTGTCTTATTACATAGCTTATATCAGAGCAGAAGTCACAGGTGAAGCTGTTTCTAAGTCAAGTGCATTTCTGCAGTCCCCTTGTCTGTAGCGCCTGCCCAAGCAGAGGATCTCTTTAACCCTTCGCTTCTTGATATGTCAACAGTCGATGACCTCTGCTGGTGCAGGCGCTACGGCAAGGAAAGCATCAAAAGCTCCCCCACCCCAGTGCCCCGAGGTGTGCCCCTAGCTCCGTGCTGCCTTCACTACGGTAAGATTGCCCCCCCCCAAGCCCCCTCACCCCTCAGCCAGCGCAGCCAAGGCTAATGGAGTTGTCTTTGTTTAAACCCACGGCCCCTCTCCGCGTATTTCACCTCTCATCTGAGACGCTGACTGGAAAAACTCCTGCCCTCTCTAATTAATCTGCCTCTTTCTCTTCCCATTTAATGACGCCCAACGGCCCCCTCCATTACCGTTCGCTGTGAGATTATGAGGCTGGGCCCATATCCCCCCATATCTCTCTGCTCTCTCTCTGCCAGTCTGTCTTTCTCACTTCCCCTGAAGTTATGGCACGTCCTCCCTCCTCCACCCAAGTCCCCCTTGGCCTTTCTTGGCAATCGTAGCCCCCTAAAAATTAATGTCCCCACGCACCATTTGCAGTTAAGAAAAAGCGACAGAGACTTACGGCGCAATAGGCTCTGTTCTGCTGCGTTAAATTTCTAATTATGCACGTGGGGAGAGGAAACGCATGAGTGTTAGGGATTGACGTTTGGCCCACAAAAGCTTTAGGCAGAGCTTTTCTTTCATTGCCCTGCGGCATATGATGATCAGTGTTGTTGTCTACTGTACTGTTAGATAGGACTGGAGACTTGATTGGTTAGGTGACCTGATGAGTGGGCTTTCTGATTAAATCTTTGAGCTCTTTTTTTGTTTTTTCTCTGTGGCTGCTCACACCCATGTTTGGCCATGCTGTTCAGCAGACATGCATGGTCAGTGATTCCTGTTTGTAGTTGTTTGGTTCAACCAGAACCTGATATAGCACATTACGGGTAATTTTTTTAGTATGACTGATGGGCCCTGAAATGTCAGACAACATATTCCATGTCACAACATGATGCATCCTTACTATGACAATGCACGTTTACCACTGGCGGTGTTGATTATCTCATTAACTTGGTAACTGTTATCAGATATTAATATGATTAGACCCAGCAGTTCAGCATAAATAGCCGGGGTCTAGTAAAAGGAAATGATGTAAACACAAATGCTTGTTATTGCTCTATTTTGATTGGTACATGTCTCTCTCTCCCTCCCTCTCTCTCTCTCTCTCTCTTTCTGTCTCTCTTTCACTGCCCCCTCTCCTCTCCTCTCCTCTCCTCTGCAGCCCGGATTGGCAAGATGAAGCGGCGAAAGCCAGAGGATGGGCAGGTATGTCCACTGTGCAGCGCACCGCTGGAAGGGACTGGGGAGGAAATGAATAGGCATGTGGAAGAGTGTCTGTTGAAGGTAGCCTCATGAACCCAGGCCCACAGGCCTCCGAAACTTCTCTAGTGTTTACGCTGTCTCCTCCCCACCTGCTTCTTTCTCTGGACGTCGTAAAAACCCTCACACATACACTCACATAAACACTCATGCTCATATTCCACTGACAGTGGATGACTAATACACAGGTCAAGCTCTGTTGTTAACATCCAAAATAGTAGTCACGTCAGTGTCCAGGGAAAGCGGTATGGCGGTCACACTTTCCTAAAGGGAACCTCCCACTTTCTGCACTTCTTACATACGTAGAATAGTTTCTACATGATATGGCGAGGTTGACTTCCTGAACTTCCTGACGAAATGGTCTCTCTTTTCATATGTAGTTTTTTACATCAGCGAAGAAGTGAAATGCCATGGATCACTTCTCTCAGTAGTTCAGGATGCATCACCTGTCTGTCTGTTCCTCTCTAATCCAGTAGCTGTAGTAATACTAATGCACTCTTGGTGGTTGGGTGTTTTTTATGTAACTTTGCATGTAATTTGCCAGCTGTTTACCTCAGACCTAATAGTTATTAAAATGGAGGATTTGTCTGGGGAACATTCATTCAAAAATAGTTTCCAGTGCTATTTTATTTATGTATTTTCATGTAAGTTATCTTGTTCTACGAAGACTCTAGGAAACATTAATAGAGAAGTACACTGAGTGCATTTTCTCACTGCCTCTGTTCTCTCAGAGAGAAGGAGGCATAGAGGAGGACCAGGCTGACGTGGAAGGAGAGAACGGCACCCGCTTTGAGGAATATGAGTGGTGTGGCCAGAAGAGGGTGCGAGCCACCTCTCTGCTGGAGGGAGGCTTCAGAGGTAAGCTGTTTTCAACTGAGATGCCTAAATGCCCCTGCCAATCATGTTTGCCCTACAAAATCCTTTCTGAAAATATACATTCATGTTCTTTGACAGATAATTGTAGCCTTAAGTGTACTTTTTTAAAGCGTGTGCACATGCCTTTTGTGAATGTATCATTAGTGGCCATTGTCCAGACAGGGGTCAACTCCAGCTGGCTCTGTTCAGCCGTGTAAGGAAGGGAAGGAAAATACATTTGGCTGTGGAATTGACCTGCCTGGTTCAGTACACAGAGCTGTGGGGGAGAGAAATGGATTTTTGACCTTTTGGTTCTTCCTTGTCCAGCCATGTAATTTTAGCTTTCAGCCTACCTCTTTTCTCCTGAGACAAGGAGCCACACATTGCAATACCCACACATGCTGGCAAAGGCCCACTTTCTGAAAGTTTCAAAGGAAACCGGTTTTGTTTATAAATAATTCACCACTTCTGATGAGTTTCTCACTTGCTAGTCCTTCTCCCATGTGATAGGCTTTGCTCTTAAGCAGTGCAGAAGCCAACACCGTGTTCACTCTTTGATGTAACATTTTTAAAGGAATTGAACAGCTTCAGAATGCTCTTTAGTTATGCTGTGCAGATTTTTTTCTTTGGTTATTGGTAATATATTTGCATCTTGTCCTCTAACACTGCTGCATCCTCAAATGGATACAGTTGGCGAAGAGCTTCTCCTCCTCAGGGGCCTTTAGTAAACTTTAGCACTCTTAAGAGAGGCAAGATGTTTCGATCGTGAGCGGAAAAAAAAAAAAAAACGGAATAATATAGCCACATATGTGGAGGGGTGAAAAACAGCTTAGTGCCTCCTCTAAGACCTGGCTAGACAACTGGTGTGGCTGGATCAATTAGGAATGTGACCAGCGCTCAGTCTGAGCAGGAGATATTTGTCCTTTCATCTGTAGCCAAGAGGTGCCCTCTCGCAACCCTGTGAAGTGACAGTGATAGAGAGCTGTAGCAATGCAGAGGTAGCTCACTGGCCTGCAAAACACTTGAAAGCCCCATCCTGCACCCCCCAGGGCGCTCAGAAAGGTGGATTTGCCTTGAAAGCCCTTGGCTGAAGTCCTCGAGCGGCCGATGGACCCTCGTAGTGGAATCCCTCCAGTCCCCGGGAGAGGATGGGGAGAACGCAGATAGGGGGGTTGAAGAGAGCCTTTCAATCGGATAAGACGCCTATCGACTCCAGCACCAGTCTCTCTCTCTCTCTCTCTCTCTCTCTCTCTCTCTCTCTCTCTCTCTCTCTCTCTCTCTCTCTCTCTCTCTCCTTCCTTCTGTCTCTCTCTCTCTCTCTGAGGGCCAGGAAGAAAGCAGAGGGGAAATGCTTTCAACTGAGCAAAAAGATCATGAGAGAAAGGGGGAAGAGAGAAGAGAAATCGAAGAGGATCAGTTTTTTGGCGCAGAAGCACTGGCCCTCCTGTGTCCCAGGCTTAGGAGAGCTGTGAGCCTGATGTACAGATAGGCGTGGCGGCTATAGAGGACGGAGGGATAGATCGAGGGAGATGGAGGAGATTTGGTGCTGAGCACAAGGGATGCCGAAGCCTTTGTAAATCATTTCTTTATAGAAGGTTTCTGTACTCTTTCCTCCTCACTTCTTTGAGTGGGACATGCTAAATGCCATCCTGATTGGGGGAACTTTGACCTGTTCAACATACTGTGAAGGGACGATAAGTGTCATGGCAACAAGGTGGAGGGCCCAAATGTGTTTCATGTTATTTATGTCTTGTATCTTTTTGTGCACTCACATTGTCCCACTGCTGTCACACTTTCCTGCAGTGACATATGTAGATTAGCATGGCGTGTCAGCCCCTACATATGTAGATTAGCATGTAATATAAACTTGAGGTGCGCTACAGCAGAGAAAGAGCGTGTAATATGCATGTCGAGGTTAGCATGTAATCTTGTAGGTGATTGTATGAGCACAACATTTGTGTAGCTGAGCCATTGATGTTGGTCCTAATGTGGACAGTGTAGCCAAAAAACCTTCCTATATTATTTGATTTTCACAATTATCTATAATTAGCACTTTCTGATGGTGGAAAACACAAATTCTACACTACACTTCTTTTGTGCTTTCCATCATTTCACTGCTGAAAATAGATCACTAACAGTACTGTGTGTGTTGTAGCAAGTGGACGGCTAGACTTCTCCCTCCTTGTCTTGTGGATCTTGTGAAGATGTGTACCAACAAAGCAGCTGTTCAGAATTCAAGCCTTGGCTTCTGATACCAAATTGATTGTTTTAGTACATCAATTATGCATTATTGTTATAAAAAAAAATAATTACAAGAGTTGCAATGTTTTGATCATTATTGTTATCATTTTATCACACAAACCTTTTTGGACGCAACTTGCATCTGTTGCTAAGGTTGCTTTTTTTCCCCCCTAAAGCTTACTTGACATGCCTTTCTGACAGTAGTGGTCTGTGTCTGCTTAACCAGTACTGGGTACACATCCTGTGTGTGTGTGTGTGTGTCTGCATGGGATGCTATGTTGATCGGGTGTGTGTTGACGGTGGAGGGGAGGAGGAAGGCCCCGTCCCAGCGGAGGGGGGCAGGCAGAGAGAGGCCGTGCAGCAGCGTGCATAATGCGGCTGAAAGGCAGTTAGAGCGGCGCTGACCTTTTCAGCACAGATTAGATTGCCTGCCAGGAACGCTTAACAGCAGTGCCTGCCCCCCACAACACCTCTCAGGTATACAGCCCTGCACTGCTTACATGGGGCTATAGAGGGCTTGTATGTGTTTGCTTGTGTGTATTTGCATCTTTCTGTCTAGTTGTCCCTTTTACTCACCATTCTGTGCACAGGGTAAAGCTAACGTAAGCACATCAGTGCTTGAACACTAATCTGACATATTACATTGCTCTAGTTGTAACAAACCAGATTCCAGTCTAAAGCAGAGTGTTCCTCTGCTGGCAATGATCAGGCTGCGCCTACTAGATCAATGCTCCAGCACTGCCTTCCTGGCTCTAGTCGTGCATTAGTAACTACCCGCAGGATCCATAGCTTGATCAATTGATTGGATTAACAGTGATTTTGGGCTGTGTGGCCTGCCACATCATTCCCAGTCCTGGGTGCCATTAGTGGTCAGGACAATCTATTTATTTGGATTTTTTTTCTCATTTCTCTGGTGCTTGTCCCCACATCTCCACAGTAAATTAACAAAAGATTCAGTCTTTCAGTTGAAAAGAAATCAGACTTTCAGTTGAATCTTTATAGGGCTTTCCTAGATTGAACAGCAAAAGACGCAGTGTCTTTTTAACCTCTGATTTCAAATTATTTCAGTCATAATGAATATTAGGAAGTTAGAACTTGTACATCTACTTATAAAAATGAGAACAGTGTAACGTTTTCTGTAAAAGTATTTCTTCATTTTTACTTTCTCGGTGGCTAAAATTGCAGGGTGTCCCTAGTCCTCGCAGCTAGTGAGTCTCTTCCAAGTGGAGCTTTCTGAATGAGGAGACCAGATTTATGCAGCTGAGGCATTGTTCACATATGCCAGCGCAGCCACAGGGACCAAATAAAACTTAAAAGCTTCCTTTTATTTGATCACTAAAAACCATCGGCGTGTTGTTTTATAAAAAAGAAAAAAAATCTGGTGCAGGTGGGTGAGTGTTTGTGACATTTTATCCTCTTTCTGGCCTGTCGGGCTCCCTTTATGGAGGCAGGGAGAAGCCTGGGGAGAGCTTGTCCTTCTTCTGGTCTTCCTCACTTTTACTCCATGTGCTGAAAGCTTTCATTCTTCCTACAGCTGAAGACCGTGCAGCAGCCGTCCACTCCAGCATCAGTCAGTTGGATGAGAGGAGGCAGCAGTCCGATTTCTCATTCCTCTTTTCACTCACCCTGTCTCTGCACACACACCGCCCAACACTACTCAATCAGCAGTATCTGTACCCCGTACCCTCCACCCGCCACAAAAGCCGTCAGGCTGTTCTGCTTGCATTCCTGCCCTAACTAGAACTGAAAGCAGCAGTCAGCCGCAGGCTGGAGTTTGTCTGTGCGCTCATCACTGGGTTTATAGAGATGCCAGTCAGCTGCTGCGCCCCTCTGCCTGACAGGCCTCTGACACTAGCCCTGTTTAGCCTGCCTGTGATACCTGCACTTGGCCTAGTATGTGGAGCCACAGCCATTTCCGCTTCAATCAGACTGCTGGGTCAGCTAATTAATGTTGCTTTGGCCTCTGCAAAGTGGGTGGGGGTGGAGCAAATTGAGGCAAGACAATGAGTCACTGCAGCTTAGATGCTGAAAAGCAAGGCTTTGATGTTTACGTGTTAAGTATAGGTCCGTACATGTTCTTCATAAAATATTAATCAGTATATCGCTATTGTTAGAAGAAAACCTCATATCTCCAAAATGGTAACTTTACAGGGGAAGGAAAAAACCCACTTTACTTTTAATGTAAGTCAATGGATCCAGACTTTTTCCATGTAATTTTGGGTCATTTCTTTTAATCCATTCATCATGAAATTTCCTTACAATGTAAAGGGTAACGGGCATTTTCAAGTTGTCAAAAACTGAAAAACGTCAAAAAAAATAGAGATACAAGGTTTTCTTCTGACAACAGCGATATGTTTTTTGTTTTTTCTTTTTGTCTTTCTCTTTTTTCCTTTCTTTCTATGTGTGGGGCACATGTAGTGCCTGATGAAATGGGATGTCATGTTGATGTTATTAGATCTAGGATTTATCTTTAGCGCAGTAGATGGTACTCACTGAACAAGTCTGTGGAGGGGAGAAAGCGGAAAAGCTTTTAAGTATTTTTATGTAGAATTGGGATTTAATTAAAAGCCTCTCTTTCTTGCTTTGTTCAATAGGAACAGGCTTTGCCATGTGCACCACGAAGGAAAGCCATGACAGCGATGCTGACCTGGACGTGGATGGCGATGACACACTAGAGTACGGCAAAGCGCAGTATCCTTCATGCACGAATACCGGGCTTTCACAGCTTTGCACCACCACTATGTTTTGTGGCAAGTCTATAGCTAAAATTAAGTGTTGAGTTCCTTAACCCAGTGTTTTCAGATATACTGAAGCAGATATCATCCCGTGTTCTGGGGAAGACCAAGGGGAGACCAAAGAACGTGAGGCACTACGCGGAGCTGTCCTGAAGTGAGTGGCCCCTCCTTATATGTTCCTGTTTTTTTATTATGGTTTCATTAATAACAGTAAGAAACTGCCTATTTAGAGCTTTGCACCATGATTGCGTGCTAAATGTATGTTGCGTCTTTGTTTTTTGTTTTTTTCTCAACAGTGGTGGCATGCCATCCAACAGGATAACACCAGAATTCTCTAAATGGGCCAGCGACGGTGAGTCTCGCTTTGGTCTGCAGGTTTTCCACAAGTTTCTCATAGTCTAAGTGATGTTTCGTCATGAGCCATACTCCAAATAACACTGCCAAATGCCAGTTGTGCATTAATTTAATTATTTGTCTTATTGTTCTGTAAATATATCAGTTTGTTTTACTTTTTATGTGTGCTTTAATGAAACTTAATTGAAGAATTACAAAAGGAACATGTTTTTTCATTAAAAAATCTGTCATTTCATTAGATTAGTTGAATGGAGTATTGTGTGCAGGCCGAGACATAGACTTTTTTCCTCATTGTGACATAATATGGGTGTATCTGCAGAAATGCCATCCACCAGCAATGGCGAGAGCAGCAAGCAGGAAGCCTCGACGTCCACCGCACCTAGGACTTGCAAAAACAGTGAGATCGAGAAGTGAGTTTGGCCTTAGGTGTACACAGACACTGGACACACACCCACATACTCGCACACACTCGTGCCCCTGTCCTCTAGAGGCCTAGAGGCAGCCAGCATATTGGAGTGAGATGAGTTTGTGTAGGCACTGGCGGGTCATAAATGATGCATTTAGTGGGCTCATCTCTCTGGAGCAAGCCTCGATCACAGGGAGGGGCTCGGGGTATTGATCCCAGGCAGCTGAGTCTCGTCTGGGCCAGACTCCCTGGACGGCTTGCGAATGCTAATGCTCCCGCTTCGTTCTCCACCTCACACAGTATGCTGATAGCCATAGCAGAGCAGTTATTAGTCATGGTGAGGTTCTGATTGTGTGAAGTAACAGAGGAGGAGTCCGAAGCAGATACCATCTGGAAGAGAGAGAGACAGGAGGGACAGTTTAACCCCTTAAGTCAAATTATTCAGTAAATACCATAAAACTTTGAAGTTAAAAGAAAATTAAACCACTTCTTTGCAGTTGTCATTTCACATTTCATTTTTGCATCTCCCATTTCCAAATCTGTATAATTAATTTCAGTTTGCCACTGAATTGTAGACTTAGTTCTGCAATCCTAAACTCAATCCTGTCAGCCCTGCACTGTGGACGTGCAGAAAGGAAGGCACTAAGAGAAGTAGGTTTGGATTGGTACTGAGCTGGTGAGTCTTACCTCTCCAGAGAGAGAAAGCTAGGGAGAAGGCTTCAGTGGTCTAGCAGGCTGCCCTAGGCTGCAGACGAATTTAAATAACCTGCCTCGTGTGAAAAGGCCAGCCCCTCTAATTCCCTCATCTCCATGTCCTCATCCATATTCCTCGACAAGCACGCAGCCGCAAAACAATTTCCCCCCTGCGAGGGTGGGGGGGCAGCCTCTGCATGGGTAATTGGGGTCAGAGCTCCTAGTTGTGTGTGTGTGTGTGTGTGTGTGTGTGTGTGTGTGGGGGGGGGTGCTGATTGCCTTCTTCTACATGCCTACATCAGAACTGTCCCGTGGCCGCTCCATTTCTCTTGCTGTCTTTGGGTCACACGTGGGGCAGCAGCTCGGCTCTCCTAAGGCCCTGCTTTCTCCTTGTGTTGGAATAACCAGCACCAAATCACCAGTGTCAGACTTCTCCACCTCAACCTTTATATATATATAAAAATTTATATATAATTTTGGTAAGCATCTTGGTTCCAGATCAATGTTTTTAGTGAATCATTTATGAAATCCAAATTATTCTGTTTCGGTTAAAATAATGCAGGCCAGTCTTTAGCCACGTCACCTAAGAGGAAATACAAAGCCTTGCAAAGGCTTAAAAAAAAGATTTCATAGATTTCCTTGCACGTTCTGTTTTGTCCTTTCATTTATTTAGTCTTTCTCTGTGAGTACTGTTCTCATGGGAGAGCTGTCCACTACAGCTGAATCAATCTGCCCATCCCTGGGCCTCATATTAAATATCAGAGAAGTAGTGAATAGGCAGAGCAGATCTAGCTCAATTGCTTTCTCCCATCAGTACACTGGGAGCAAGTGCCACCTGCCTTCAAGGTATATCACTGTGTGTGTATCAGAAGGAACAGCTTCAGCTGCTACACCATGACCGTTGTGGAGTGCCTGTTTAAGGGCATTTGCCATGTAAACAGGGAGGAAAATGCTGTTAAAGTTGTGTGTTTGGGGGGAAATTGCATTTATGCATGTTCGATATGTCAGACGGAGTGTGTGGAAATGAAGGTGTTAGTCAGTGGCGTTGAGAACACTGTCAGAGTGCTTGTGTGTGTGTGTGAGTGTGAGATGGCCTGTGTGTGGGTGTGTGAGTGGGAGGATGAAGATGGACGGAACAGTGGTCCTAAGTGATGCAGCAGAAGCGTGACAGCTTAGATTGATTGATTCATTGCTTTCCCCGCAGTGTCTCTCTCTCTCTCTCTCTCTCTCTCTCTCTCTCTCTCTCTCTCTCTCTCTCTCTCTCTCTCTCTCTCTCACACTCACACTCACACACACACAGAGAGAGAGCTCTACAGCACGTTTAGGCAAGGCTGAGCGTGTGCATGTGGGGGGGGGGGCATTAAGTGTTTTAGCATGCTGGGGAATGAATCATTGCAGCTGTTTGATGTCGGAGCAGGAGAACAAGCAATGAGTGCAGCCCCCCTCTATTAGCTTAGCGCTTAGCTCCAGACGTGACACACACGCACACACTCGTTTATTTAATATCTCCAGCAATATTTCTCTGGGGCTGCTGCTCATCTCCATCCATCTATCTATCTCTCCCTGACAGCAAGCCTCTCTCTCCTCTGAGGTGCTTCCTTGCTCTCTGCCGTCTGATTCGATCTGCTAGTGCACGGGATGTTACGCTATATCGTGTTATGGAAGGGGAGGCAGACACAGTTCTCTGTGATTATATCATTAATCAGGCACTGAGGGGTCATGGAGGGTGGAGAAGGGGTAAACTGGTGGGCAGGGGGGTTGTTTTACCATTCTTAGTTCTACACATGATAGCAGTCAGACATTTGTGGTACTGTTCCCTATGCTCTGCTTGTCATGTTTGAGTGTGCTTTTGAAATTTTTAATTTTCGATTGAGTTTTCCATAAGGTAAAGAAAATAAATACCTCAAAAGGTTCTGTTAACGTTAAACATTTATTACTACTTTAAGAATATTTTCAAGATGCAGCTTTCCCAAACTTGTTAAAAGCACATATTTTGACCAAAGGGTGGTTTAAAAAGCTGAAAGGTTTGAGTAGGAGGGGTGAAATGTGTACGTTATACAATTATTTTCAAGGTAGTACTAGGGTTGGGCGATAAAATGATAACGATAATTATCACGATATAAATTTTTCTCGATAGAGCGATACGACATGTTCGATAAATGTTCGATATAATACACCATTCTCACCCTTCCACATTCAGTGAAAGCCTTGGTGGTGTTTTCTACTGCAAGAAAGCGACACTACTCTGCTGTTCTGAGTTTTTCTACATGATTAGAGAGGGAGGGGGCCACGAGTAAGATGAGTCTTTAGTAACAGAAACGCGGAGTTATACATTCCCTTTTTGAGTGGAGCGACTGGCGATCTGTTCTCCTGTGACCGAGTGTAAGTGACAAGGTCAGTGGTGTAACTATACTGTCCTACAGCAAACTCACCTCTTTCCTAACATCCTAACCAGCTTTAGCAGCGTTAAATCACAATCACAATCCTCACAACTACAGCACTGTTACAGCGCTCAGTCATATTTTAGTATTAGTGCATTCACCAGCAACGAAAGTGAAAGAAAGAAGTGGGTTCATGTAAATTACAGCCCTGATTTAAACAAAAGTAAACTGTGGAAGCTGTGAGGCATTGGAGAGCGGGAGAGCGGTAGCTTTCCAGGCTAGCTGTTTTTAGCAGCTGGCTAACTTGAAGCAGCGCTCTGTCACTCACACAGCATGGAGAATTGATGATACTGTAGATCAAACAAGACACACAAGCACCGCTTTCAGTTTAAACATACCTAAAAAGAGGACTCCGTTTGTCTGGTGTTAGATATATTGAGGTTCACCCCTTAAACTACTACAGTTGAATAGAGAAATCCAGTCGTCGCTAGCTGGTGTCTGAATACTGTGATGTCATTTGTAACGGGGTAGCCGAGCGCTCGTCACCAGCTAAAAATAATCTGTTTTCTTTCTTAAATTATGACTATTACAAAAATAGCCATGCTTTTCCAGCTGGTAAAAACAGCTCACCAGACACTTTCTCCCACTCTCCCATGACAGATCTGTGAAATGTTCCACTGTTTGCTGAGTGTTTGTTGTGTTCCGACCATACAGGATAGTTTAAAACAGCAATTAACCACCCAGGAGCAAAAATCAGCCTTCAAACTTGAAAGAAATAATGATTTTACATTTATCGCGATATGTATCGATATTGAACGATATGAATTTTGTTTATCGTGATAACATTTTTGGCCATATCGCCCAGCTCTAGGTAGTACTATTATAGATATTGTCCCAAATACTTACGTGTGTAATATTGTTTTTCAAATAAACCTGTTTAGTCTTTATTGCAGTATGATTGCAGTATTTTTAAATATTCTATTGTTGGTTTCTAAATATTACAAACCAATAAAGAACAAATGCTAATTTATGTTAAAAAATATTTTGAAAAGCTAAACACCCTCCAATATAATAGCAGCATATTCCAAAGTGTAATGTATACGGTGCTTGTATTTCTGGGTTGTGGTTTATATTATACATTATGTATTGATTAAACATTACTTTTTTGTGTAATGGCTTTTTTGTAATTGGCACTACTTTTACGGAACAGTTCTCCAGATCCTAAGAGCTCACTTCAGGCCCTGGATGCAAACATATGGGTATAGCCAGGCGATGATTTTATTTCCAATTTCCTGAAGCAGAGGGCCTTAATCTTAGTGCACTTTAAAGAGGCCAGACAAGAAGCTGAACGATTCCACTACAGCGGGAAACGCAAAACAATTTCCCCGCTTTACTGTTTGCAGAACGTGTGCTTTTCAATCTGCAATGAAAATGAGATTTGTCTGCTTTAGTTACAGTGATTCATTGTGGATGGTCAACGGGTGTGTGTGTGCATGTGAGACAGAAGTGGTGGGCGTGAGAGGGAGAGAGGAGGCTTGAATGTAGCTTTACATGGTGGAAGGGATGTAGGAAAAAATCTCCGTGATGAATTCAGCATGCTTTCTCTGGACTGGATGCTTAGTGATGTTGGAGGGGTCAGGGGTCATCTCTGGCCCCGCTTCAGTCTGTTCTTCCACGACAAGATAAATTAAGCATCCTATGCTGGTTATCACCGCCAAATGTCTTGCTCATCTTGAAACAATGCAGAAGGTTTCTGTACCGCTTTGCAAATAACTGAATCTTCCCTGAGTTTCTGACTGATGACTGTTCTCTTCTCCTGCTGTTTTTTTGCTGCTGTACCTTTCTTTGAAGAAGGCCTCCACCGTGTATAGGTTTTCTTCCTGTGTCCAATATCATAGGATGCAGTGTTACACCAACGTAAGGCACAAATGTTGCTCAGTTGTGTAATTTATCATGGACCTGGCTTGTAACTCACATCTAACAGACTGAAGATTCTCCCCAAGCTAGCACTACTAGCACTCAAATAGCTTTTAGTGCTTCTTATCAATGATTCTGGGTGTCTATATGTTTTTAGGTTATCATCAAGTTTATTAGGTTAAGTTATTAAGTTATGTTATTAAAGGTTGTATATATATACAACATTAACATTAATATAGCAGGAAATAGTTATTTTCTATGTGAAGGCAATGGTGAGATGAGAACACTCCCTCTTGTTGTGTTGTAATCTGAGCTTCTGTGTTTTTTTGTTTTCATAGTCAGTCTGGCCGTGAGTGCATGTTAGTCCCGCCCTGTGAAAATGTTGGCCCGCTCCACATTTTGTTTTGACCTCTTCACACAGTGACCGCCCACACAGCATTGTGCATGCACCACTTAAGATGGAACGGGAAAATTCAAACAAGAAGCTGAATCGCCAGAATGTAGTCCTAACTGCTGCACCTTTTAAGGTGGAACAGGAAAATTCTTACAAGAAGCTGGCCAAAAAGAAGGTGACGTAAGCTTCACTGAGAGTTAAAATGCATGGAAAGGGATGAGGAGGTTGCTCCTGCTTGACAGGCATTTTCTTGTAATGATTGATAGATTTACTCAGAATAATCAAAAAGACAGACACTGAGGCGCAGCACCTCCATCCATAAGTTGAAACAGTGACCAGTCAGATTTCACTGAAAATTTATTGCATCCGTGCATCTATGTGGAACTTGTAGAACTTGTAATAGATAGACCCATGGCTGGCTAAACTTGAACCATGACAGCCCTCCTGTTACATTAAGGGCCAGCTTTGATAGGCAAGGCCCACGCTCTGGTTACCACTGAGAATGGAGTGAGAAACAGCTTTAAATGCCTTCTTTGTGCCTGAGCCTAAATACCTAAACATGTACTTCTCTCGGGTTAGTAATGCTCATTATGGATATCTTGCTGTGAACATTGATTTCTCCTTTATTCAGTTTTGTCTGGCCCTTCACTTTTACATTGCCTCTGTCTCATTTGGCTTGCAAACTAGTGGTTTCAGCTATGGAAGTGTGGAGCTGATTTGTGGCCTTGTGAAAAGCTCTATTGAAATAAATGTCCACATACTAGCACCAAAATGTGCAGAAGGGCCCACACATACTTGGCTGGCCTTCTGCAGTCCCAGAAGTATCTCACCAGAAAGCACTGCCTAGAAAATCACAGTGCCTGTCCACAATAGCTGGTTGGTGCTGATACAAAGACAGTGCCTTTGCACTAAAGAGCCAGCAGTCAAATTGCAAAGCCTTTCTGCAGTTATTTGTGTCCTTCCAGCATCACTCTCTGGCTGAGCCCATGTCACTCTCCCCAAGACGATATCAAGGCATTATCAGCCTACGTAAAATTTGGCAGTGCTTCATTCAGTGTGTGTTGTCTGTTAAACGCTTGCTTAATGTCTCCATCCAAACTCTCTCACTGCACGCTCATCAGCAGGTAGATTATTTTCTGCCTCTGTGGGTGAGCTCATCCTGCCCTCTCTGTCTCGTGTGTGTGTGGGTGTGGGTGTGTGGACCTATAGTAAACCAAAGCCCAGCACTCCATCTACTCTCTGCACATAAAGACAGATTAAAACCCCCTTTTATTACCCGAGGGAATTAAATAACTTTTAGAATGTGGTTTTCTATAAATCACTAGTCAATGAATATTCATGGCAGTGCATGTGAGTGGGGTTGGACTTTATTGGGGAAAAGTTCCACTTGGTGCCGGCCTGATGGCAGAGTGCAGCACGGCGTTTTACGAAGCCGTTAAAGGAAAACAGCGGGCATGGAGCGTGGTGCATGCACACTCCTCTGTCTGCTTTATAAGCAAGCACGCTAATCAAGGCTAAATGCTTTTTTACAAGCTGCTCACTAATAAGAAGAGATTTTAAAGCTTTATGGTCCCTGTGCTGATTGTAGGCCTACAAATAGCTGACCGGCAGTCTGTCCAGCTTGTCCAGCTCTCCTTGGCCAAGGTCTTCACCCAGCCCTTGTGACTTTGGGAGCTATGCTATGAATGCCACTGGGGAAAGGCTTACACTGAGGCATCAACTCAATCTTCACCCACATAACCTAGATACAATATATTTAGACTTCATCATCATTCTTATCTTTTGGGAGATTTTTATTAGATTGATAATTCTAGTCCAGTTCTGGTCCTAGATGGCAGGAGTCCTGCAAAATGTAGCGATTTCCTGGTCTCATGGGCTAGACATGGTCCCATAGTGAGAATACACACATGGGCACAACTTGTTAAACCTTTGGTGTTTTTTCCACTGCCAGCAAGGGTACGCCACCTCTAAAACCACCCTCAAATTCCTCTGTTTGTTCCGTCCTCTTTTAATGTCCAGATTACAGACATGAACTTGAGCAAAAGTACCTTGTGACATGCTGCCGTTAGCTAATTGACCAGTTTTTCCCATGTAAGAGCTAATGTTTGTTTTCACTGAATGTAATGGATTTTCTGCACGTGATACACACCTGCATGCTTAATTTGAGTTTGTCTGACTTCTTGACCATGCTAAATTATGCGTACATCGTTGCCCTGTACGTGATGCCTTCATGAGGTGTTGGATTACTTTAGAAATTTTACCTTCAGATTTTTCCCACCCACCTTTAGCCCAAAATTTCTCATTGTTGTCCCCAGACCTTCTTGCTTCGAGATCATGGCTGGCCCTGTGAGACTAGTCAGTGTCTTGCTTAAACACATCTACTAAACCTAAATACTGAGTTAAAGCAGGAGTGTTTAAAACCAATTTGTGCTAAACAAAAGCCCTCAACTGAATTTATGGTAATACGTTGATTAGTAGATTACTATTATTTTTGTTCTCATCACAAAGTATTTGCTAATGAATCGTATTGACATACTGAATAGCTTGCCTTTTTGCACACCCCACTTTCATTCACAGCATATAGAAGACGTTCTCTGAGCAGTTTATCATTCAGTATCCCACCATGCATTATTCCCATAATCTCTACACCTGTTGTCCTGGTTGCAGCGCAGTCTGAAGTGCGGGCTCTTGAGGAAGCCTATGATTCTTCGTCTGCATGGGTATTGTTCTCTCCGTTTGGCATTATAGGGGAGCTGGCAGTCCATAAACAGCTCTTCCTGCCTCTTAATGACCCCTTTCCTGATTTACATCCCGCTTACTGAGAGGCCCGTGTGTGCATTGGACGAGTTCTCACTGTGGGGGGACACAGGCATGTAATAAATGGTGCTATCGGAAAAGCCGGCGAAACGGGCAGGCACTAATCGGGGGGAGAACGCCTGGGAGAACGCTGGTGCACCTTCCAATCGATACTGTAGATCAGCGCTCCATCTGGCTGGAAAATGAGCGGATCACCATAAACATCTCACCAAGCACTGTGCTGCACAATCAATGGCAGCCATATTGATTTAGTTATTGCTAGTTCATATGCTACGGACAGTGTTAAATGTACATTCACCAGCCCTTGGGCATTCATCAGTGGATCTTTAGTGAGGGCTCAAGATGGACAGATGGGGTTGGTTAATTCGCTCTTAGAGTATTGCCTTAAACACCATGCTGTGTGAAGAAGTGATGCCTGAACCAGCCAGTTCTTTAAACCTTTTTTGAAATTCTCGAAACTTCAGAATTTTTACAAAATGGTCTGCATTGAAATTTTTATTTTGATGTTGTGTAGAGTTAAAAGGAAAATGATTAGATCACTGTAAACATGGTACCATAGTGACAGAAAAGCTATGATATGATTTTAGTTTGGTGGTATGTAATGCCCTGATTGACCATGAGCTTTGTAACTCTGCAGAATCACAGAGGACTCCACAGGGACCACACTGGAGGCACTGAAGGCACGTATTCGAGAACTGGAGAAGCAGATCCTCCGAGGAGACAGATACAAGTGTCTCATCTGTATGGTAAGAAGACGTTGCATGATCACATGGCATATTTATGCACTCCCTTGGTTTGCCTGTTTTGCATGCCATCTTCATGAATGTTGAACATCCTCATAATTTCCTAGCAATTATACATCAAGTAGGTAGACGTTTTGTGGTGGTATTCTGCTTTTTTTACCAAAGAGAGCAAAGCATGACCGCAGAATGAACGCTGAAAGATTTTGCGCTGCCATGGACCTTCAGGCAACAATGACTGCAAAAGTCATCTTGACAAAGAAAAAACTGGTAGATTAATGCCCTCAGAGGGCAGCGGTTCCCTTCTGTAGAGGCCGGTTGACTGTACTGTACTCTGCTGCACCCCTGAGAATTCGTCATTTGGATTTTTTTTTTTAGGCTTGTTTTTGTTCATATACATTTTTGTGCATTTTATACATGGGGCAATTCTAATTTTCTTTGAGCTTTACAGGCCAGTTCTACAGTTTTTATGTTCTCAGTCACATTGCATTTAGGGAGCCAGTGGTATTCATCGGTGTAGATCTACTGCCATCTTCTGTTCACATTAGCTGTTGCAGGCCTCCCAGCTTGATCCACATGCGTAATTCTGCCCAAGTGAAAATGGGATGTGTTTACTCCTTTAGAAGGGATGTTAATTTCTGACTTTACATGCATCAGGAAATTTCACACTTAACTAAGATTCAGTTTGATTATTTTGGTCCCATTCAGAGATTGTTTTAAAAATACGTGGAGTGCACAGATATAACCAGTGGAACTGTGACATGTTTTTTTTTTTTTGTTTGTTTTGGTTGGTTTACATTGGAGAAAAACCAAAGATTTTTATTGGGCAAAAACAAGCAAATATTTTACTGAACATTATTTGCACATAATTATACCATTATACCATTCCAAAATCAGTGCAGCTCAGACATCACCTTAAAATCGATGCATCATATATTTTTTTACACCCTGTAGTAACGTATAAACGTGTGCCTAAAGGTCCCGGCTAAATGTCCCTATGAAACACAACAGAAGCTCTCCTCCATCATCCTCCACTGCCTTTCACATTGTATGTTGTGTTGCCCACTTCCACATCCTTGCGTTAGCTTTTTTCGGGTGTGTGTGTGCGTTGTAGTGGGCGCGTTCTCGTTCTCAGTGGCGCTCTTGCGTGTCCCTGCAGCGGAAACGATTCCCAACAGGGCCTGACGGCAAGGGCGGGGGGCTGGCGAGGCACGGGGGCGCAGAGGCCCCACCCCTGGGCTCTGGCTGCTGTTTTTACAGAGGCTTCATCCCAGGCAGCAGCGCGATTAAGAGGCTACTGCCACTCCGGAGGGTAAGCCTCTCTGTGCCCCCTACCCACAGACCTCAACCCGCCTTGCCCATCCCCACCCTGCACTGGATCATCACACACTCATACACACACGCACACACTCCTGCAGTGCCCCTTCACTGCCTGCCCATCCTGCGTGCTGTGCTACTGCTGCTGCCTGCTGGTGACGTCTCATTTGGGTGTGTTTTTGTTAGGCATGTATGGTGATTGTGTATCTGTGTGGTGTTTGCTGTTGTGTTTGTTAGATTTAGGATAACAGATGTTTTTTTTTTTTTCACCCCCCAACAGGACTCCTACACAGCACCCCTCACTTCCATCCAGTGTTGGCATGTCCACTGTGAAGAATGCTGGCTTAGGACTCTGGTGAGAACCCTGCATCTCCACACAGAGCTGGTCACACAGCAACATGACAACACGTATCTGTAACCAAGCTTTTCTCTCTTTTCTCTTTTCTCTTACCTGTCTCTGCTGGACATCTCTCTCACCATGCCTTTCATCCCAAGACTTGAAATTGCTGCCGTTTACAGTCCCCATACAGCCAATTCAATATACACATGCACACACACACAAACACATGCAAATAGATATGTCCTCTCTTCGTCTGTCCTCCTACGCACTAAGCTCTTTTCAGCCACTCCTCTCAGGGAAGCCGAGCCTATTCTGCTGCTACATGAGGAAGCAATAAATAAATGTTTCACAGCCTCAGCCCTTTTTCAATATGTGTTAGATTAAATCAGCCTTTTTCCTGTCCTCTCTTCACAAGACCCTCTATGTACAACACTGATGAAGGGAAAGGGGAGGGGGGCTGGTCAGAGAATTGTGTGTGCCATAGAGGCTCGTTACTAATGTGGGCATTAAAACTGTTGCCTGAAGACAGCAATAAAAGCAGCACGCTGGGGCTCCTTGCGTCTTGATCAAAGTAAATGCGTGTAATTTGGTTAGAGACAGCGCTCCTGCACATAGCCGAAGGAGGAGCCTGTTGTAAAATGCAGGTAACCCTCACGAACCTGAACAAAGGAAATACAGTAGATGAGAGAACCAGGAGTAATTGGACAAGGTTTCTGGAGTACAAAGCAGTAATATGGATCTGCATGAGCACTGGTACAAGAAGACCAGAGGTATAGTTACATTATACACAAGTATAGCAGCTAAGAAACGAATTGGGATTTGTATAGTCTCACTTAAGAACGCAGTTACATCAAAGAACGTTTTTCCTTCTCTTGTAAAAATATTGCATTGGAGATTGGAGTCCACTTCTGAACAGGCTTTAGAATTTTGATGTCCTCTATAATAAATTAAAAAATCTGTACAAAACATTTTCGTCTGTACTACAGCAGTGAAAAGTGAAACACTCCTCTGTGTGTCTCTGTATGAAGTTCCTAATAGTGAGGTGACTACCAAGAGCTATTTTAACTAGCCTTGTAGGTTGTAACTGTATTGACTCCATAATGTCTATTATTAGAAAATAAGTGAGAAAAATTTTGAATCAGTCAAACTAAACGGTAAAAAATCAAGGATTGTAGTACATGAGTGTGCGAAATTTATGTAGGCATGATCCTTCAAATTGAAAGCATACCTACTACATGACAAACCACTCATTAGAAAATGCACATCAGACCCAAAACTGAGTAGAATAATAAATGAAAAATTGGCCCGGATATCGCCTAGAAACCAGTATTTTGTTGGACCCTGTTGGGCTCAGGTCGGATATCAGACCTCTAGACTACAGCACTAGTTAGGATGTCATGCTGTATTATTTAGTCACCTACTGTCTGAGGGAGAATGTTAACATTACTGACCAGAGAGAGAGACATTTCTGACAGAGAGAGAGAGAGTCCGAAGTTTATGTACTGGCATCCCCAGTTCCCAGACGCCTGTATTTGCTCACAGCTGTGTGTTCTCTTGTCTGGGGCAGAAACTCCTGCTCCTTCTCTTCTGAAGTGAGCTTGTGTCTGTCCTAGTGCTGTGTGTGTTAGTGTTTGAGTTCAAGACAGGCCGTGTGTGTGCACAGTGGCTCTGTGGCAGAGGTGTGTGAAGGCTCTGCATGGAGATTATCAACAGTGGTACAGAAATTCCTCATAGTTATGCCACTGTCTGCACGTCCATCCCTTTTCTCCGTTCCCTCTATTTCTAGTAACAGCACACTAAATGAGGAATTTCTGTTTCTGTCTGACAGGAAGAATATAGCAGTTTACCTCTATTGGGCTTAGCAAACTTCACTCTGCACACGTGTTTTCCAGTATGCTTTTTGTAACACCGTTTATTAACGGTTCAGACTTTCTTAGCTGACTCTAATGCTACGGCATTCAGCCTGTACATTTGCATACACTCTCCCCATATTACAAAAGATTTTGGAGTGATCCACATTAAGCCTTGGTAATATGGCCAAAAATAACAGGTTGAGGAACAGAACAGCTTCACATGGCCTGATCGGGAGCTTTCAGGCCTGATACACATGCTGTTTTGCCACTTTCTTTGCCATTTTCCACCCATTTTGTTTTATGTCAAGGACAATAAACTGACCAGGCTGTCTCCCTTTTTTTTCTTTCTTTTTATTCAACAGGGAAACAAAAAACTCTGCCCACAGTGCAACACCATCACTTCACCAGGAGACCTTCGACGTGTTTATTTGTGAACTACCTGGTTGATGCCTGCATTTCCCCCTTTCCTTTTTCAAACTCCATTTTTGCTCTGGTGGACTTCTGTTTTTCCCCACCACCCTTGCCCCCCCCCTTCCCCCACCCTACCCCCACCCTACCCCCAACGACTGAGAGAGGCAGACCAGGCTCACACTGATATTAAAGGCGAACCTCTGATGTAGCGGTGGACTCCATGGGGACTGCAAATGGACTTAGCATTCCCTCCCTAAAGCCCGAGCGCAAAGCTTCTCTCTCTCCTCGGCGGACCTGTGACACTGCTCCCTAGTGGTGATCCATGTATGGTGCGGGTCTAAGCCATATGTTCCTGTCCAGTCACATTTTCTCTGGAAGGACGACACCACCTCTTCCTTACCACAATGAAGGAGCGTGCCTCACCTGTTCCACTCCTGCTGCAGCTGTGTGTATGTGAACGCGTGTGTGTGTGGGACGTCCCTCAGCAAGGCCACTGAGCTTGTCTCTGGCTGGAACTCCACCCTGGCAGAGACTAACTTACAAAAAAAAAAACTAAATGAATAAACAAATAATAGTTAACTCTCCAGCTTTCGTTCCCAACAACCAACCTCAACAAGCACCTGCTGGACCTCCAACCTCCCCCCCCCCAGGGATATGTCTTGTGTTTTCTTTTCTCTCCCCCCCAACTTACACTTCTTTTGTGGTGTTCTAGTGAAGTCAACCAAATTCGATGAACCAGTGCAAGCACATGTAATATAGTCTATGTATGTTTACAGTGTTGTGAGTAAATGACATAGAAAATACACTTGTATACACAAACACAACGCACACACACTCAAAAAAGGGAAAAAAGACATGACAAAACTCAACACACACACAGAAGTATATATTAATAAAGTCCAATTTTAGTTGGGGTGGTGTTTGGGTGGGAGTGGGAGGGGCTTATGTTTCAATCTTGAAAAAGAAAACCCTCTGTATTTTTAAACAGATGTTGTTGTCTTGAGGTTAAAGTTGTATTTCATTGTACAGGAAGAAATTTAAGTAATATTAATAAGAACTACTCAAACTAGGCTTTAAAGATTTAGGCTGTACATTTTTTTCCACTCAAATATACAGTATAAACTGTAGATTCAAATCTAAAGCAAGGGAGAGTATTTTTTTTCTTTGCTTTTTTGTGTGAAATGGAAAGACTGGCTTTCATTTTCCCTTAATTACCCTGATAAACTCTTCCAATAACAAAAAACAGGCAAAACTCTCTCAGAGGATTAAAGTAGCTCATTCATCTTCATTTCATTAGGTGTAAATTTGGTACATCCAGGCACCTAAGCAGGTGCGCTTCTGTTCTTCCTCTCAGAGATAGGCTCATGTGAACATGTGAAAAAGAATTGTTTTGACATGCTTGTTACTGGGATATGTTCAGATTGTTCTGGACACAACACAGATGAAAATGCTTTTATTTTTTTTCCCTCTCACAAGAAGATGGGTTTATTTGAATTGACAGATGGCCTGGTCCCTAAGCTCTCTCCAGGAATGAGGAATGGTGTGTTTTTGTATTTGTACAACTATGTATTCTGTGATTTTTCTGTATTGATGTAAGCAAGAAAAAAAAAAATCAAGAAAACAAAGTTCATTGCTGATCCGAATACAACAATAAACAGTCAAATGTTTCTTTGGAAATAACTTTCTTTTCAAGTATTTTGTTTTTGTTTTTCTTTTCTTGTTTGCACAGTTACCTCAGAGAACAATGGTAATACCACCTGTCTGCTCCCTCTCCCCACCCCCCAGTTCTTCATTTCTGTAAATAAACCCATCTGTACAAATGAGCATTTGAAGTTATGTAATCCTGATAGGAGGCAAGGCGGCATAAAGCTAATCATTAAACCTATCATGGGTTCTTGGTCAGAAAGGATAAAGTCACTCTCTTTTTCTCTCTCTCTCTCTTTTTGCCAGAAAATAAGGTTCTGCCCCAGAGATGAAAAACTGCACAAAATGATTGTGTGAGCTGATTTGTGTCCTTGTATAATTCTTGGAAATGGTACTTGTCTTACCCGTTTGTAAACTACATTTGACAGTAATTAAATGATTGTACACCTGTACCAGCTATCCTGTTCTGGCCTTATTCCCAGGTCCACTGCTGCTAATCATGGGCCCTTAATTAATTAATTATTTATTTATTTATTTATTTGCTTATACCCACATATGATGCTACTGTTGCTAATAATGAATGATAACATCATTAGGATTATTGACAAGACCATGCAAGTTGGGTTTTTTGTGTGTTTGTCACCCTTTAGCTTCTTACTGTAGTAAGATTGAATGAGTGAGGTTATGTCAGGATAGTTGTTCCTGTCCCCGGTCATGGAATTCCCTTCCCTGAACGTTTTGCTGCTCCACTGCTTTTATAAACCTGATCCAAGTTCTTATGTAGTTATAACTGAAGTTCAGGGGGAGGAGCATGCCTGAAACCCCTCCTTCTTCCAAGGGTATGGCCTTCTAGCTACAGGCAGAAGCTGCCCAGAACTCCTGCCAAGTTTTCAGAGTTCTTTCCCCTCCCTCAATCAGTATTCCCTCATACTACCGCTGCATGTTGAAGGCGTGATCTGAACTCACAAAACTAATTAACAAGCCCTTCTTTAGGGGACAGGGCTACTACTACTCTACTACTCTTAAGACCATTTCTTCACTTAGTAAATCTCACATAGTTCTGCAATATAGCTGTCAGAGGATATGAGATATAAGAAATATCTCAGACGAATTGTTAAATCTGATTCATTCTGTGCTGACTCTGTACTGCCACAGAAAGTTCTTAATGCCCATAAAGTAATGCTAGATGAACTGTAAAGTCAGCAGAAGATAAACCCTCTTCAGCATGTTCCTTAAAGAGTGAAACAACACTGAACTGGTCGATGATTATAGCTCAACAAACAAATCCAGATCTAAGACTTCATCTCAGGTCATTATGTAGTTTTACCAGGCCTTTCAGATGGTTGTTTTTTCTCCTCATATACATCAGTCGTGTTAGCGTTGACCTGTGAATGCTCCCAGTTCCCTGTCATGTCTTCTGGTCAGTGTTGGCTGCTGTAGAGGTTACCTAAGGGCCAGGCGGGATCAGCTAACGTTAATATACCTCTAGTGTGGTATAGCAAATGTAGCAGTGGTTGCATCACCCCATCACTCTGCCAACCACCCTGATCCTCTCCTACCTATGCGGTCCAGACAGCACCACAATCCATAGAGTGCATTAGGCCGGCCGTGGGCTGGATCTCGGGTTACCAGCCTCACAGAATCAGGTGAAGGCCTACTGAGTGCAAGCTGATCTATAGAAATTGCTTTTGGAGGTCAAAGCCCTCCCTGGCGGCGGAGCGGAAAGTGTGGGGGTGTTATTGCCAGTTTACAAACATCTCCTCAGACCGATCAATAGGACAGGCCTCCTCTGCCGTGTTGGGTAATTCCTTGATCGTGCTGGCTGTCTGAACCAATGGTAATTTACACCTACATGTGGGAATTTGACTTGCTCCACCACCCCCCGGCATCAAGTACAGTGTCCGCTTTCTCTTGCTTGCCTCAGCTTGAAGTGCTGCTGCTACATCTCATTCAATTAGGAGCTTCTCCCCCTTCTCAGCCTCTTTGCATGATCAATTCAGTCAAGGTGCTTAACAGAAAAAGGGGGCTCAACTCCACATGCCCATATGGCACTTTCTTCTCATTGTTCCAACCATGGAGCCATTGAAATGCGATCTTCATAGCATCCACAAACGCATGACACAGATTAGCTAATTTTCTTCAGAAACGGTTAAATTGTGTTTCCGTAATTTAATGTCCATGTATTAGGCCAACTTCAGCGTAATTGGATACAGAGATCGCAGCATAATCCACAATGAAGGATTGTTAGTCACAGATTCGTTCTGTGAAGAATCGTATGGCAATTTTTACTGTTCCAAGTATTATAGAAATTGCAGACATTTGGTAGTGAGATGCATTAATTTCCTGTTTTCTGAGTAATTGCGTCTCAAGGCATGCAGCGAGAGGAAACGAGAGTCATTGTGAGGCCTGCTGTAGCTGTCAATGTTTTGAGAGTCTCCTTCTGTAGCTAATCTCATGATTACAGCCTTGCTAAATTGCTTTCATATCCACTGATGCTTAAGAGATCGCAGAATGACATTATGAGGATTTAGCCGAGAAGATGTTTCCTCAATAACAAGACGTGGTAAAATTGCCTGAAATTGCGTGTGCATGTGTGCATGTGTGTGTGCACTAGATTACTCAGTTTCAGTTCTTGCTCCAAAACTCTGTTTTACTCCAGGAAATTTGCTACAATTTAAAAAATCTACTTTCTCTTTCAGAGTACTCGCATCAGTCATAACTGGCACCATGACACTGATTTATACTAGTATATGTACAGACGGGTGACAAAGAAAAAAAGGTGTCTTAGAAAGGTGTTGGGCCACCATGAGCTTCTGAAAGAGCTTCAGTGTGCCTTGACATAGATTCTACAAGTCCCTGAAACTATAGGCATTGAGCATCATTCTTCCAAAAGATTTTACCTCCACTGGTGCTTTAATGATGGTGGTGGCGATCACTGCCTAACACATCAGTGCCACGGTCTCCCAAAGGTGACAGTGATGTGGTGACAGTAAAGGCCCGTGCCTTCCCGTACTCAAGAAACCATTCAGTAGGTGTCAGGTTTTCAGGCCTGTACTGTTCTCATAGTATATGCCACACATGCACTCACCTACTTGTGGAGAATATGGTGAATGATGACTCTTCTGACCAGCTCACTTTTTCCACCACTGAACTCTTAATATGTATTCATCTTAGGGGTTTATGCACTGTAACTTTACTATAATATCCCTCTCTATGAAGTTGTGGATGGACTGTTCTTGCTGACAGTCTGATTATGTCCTGTACTGACATTCTCTGTGATCTGAAAAACAACTCTTCTGTTTTTCCTTACATGTTACACTAATGCACAAGCATCAGTCATTGAATGTGCATGTTCAACCAGAATTTCCAAACCTATTTACTGATGTCTTTCCCACAGATCTAAATACAGATATCACTTTTGTGATTTGTTCATATTGAGTCCTGTTCAGTCTTTATGAAACTCCTGCCATGTATGTCTCAATAATGAACCTCCTTCAGAGTCACTCAGATCTTTTGCTCTTGCCATCTTGATTCAAAATCGAGGTCACCTTGACCTGATCAGCATTTTTATACATGCCACATAGTATGGTAGAATGTTAATTGCTGAATTGTATCATACAGTATAACTGTTTGGAAGCATCTGCACTCATTGTGTTTCTCCACTTATTTATTCAGGTTCTTCTTTTTGTCATCTGTCTATATTTATTATATACTCAATTATTTTGTTGCAGTCCCCATTAATGGTTTGTCATGCCAAGCAAAAAAGATGTGTTCATATGTAATTTATATTCTGTTTAATATTTAAAGTTTAGTTCCAGTTTTCTGTTGACAGAAAAGCCGTGTACCATTATTTACTTCTCAAGAGATCAGACATGTTCTTCTTGGTTTTGAGAAGAAATGGTCTTTTAGTCTAAAGAGCAAAATCCTTACTGGTGAACATATGGCAGTTTTAAAATGCCACAATCAAATGGAACCAGAAAAGGTTATAAGGTGAAATTTCAAGTACATTTGACTAAGACACAAATACAGATCTTGTAATTTATAGGTGTCATATGTTTTTCTAGGAAACAATGATTTATTCATCAGTAGGTGTGTAAAAATCTATTTTTTAAACCAGCCTATCATTCTGTGTCTGCAATATAGCCCTGCCTCTCAGGATCAGGGTCGCAGAAAATATGTGTAAAATTGCATTGATGCGTCAATCAGAAGAAGTGATTCAGCTGCATCAACTTTAAAATATTAGACACAATTGTAATACCATTCAGTAAAGTATGCTCTCATTTTTTGGCCAAAATAAATTTCTTGGGCTGTTTTTAAATGGCCCTGAGATGAACTGGTGATCTGTCCAGGGTTTTTCTTGCCTTCCTCCCTATGACCGCTGGGAAAGGCTCCAGCACCCCCGACGACCCAGAAGGATAAGATAATGTGTGTGTGTGTGTGTGTGTGTGTGTGTGTGTGTGTGTGTTTACAAAGGTAATAACTTGTTTTATGGTTTTTATTGTTTTATTATCCCACTACTGTGCAAATAGTTTCCCCAATCACAGTTATGTACTCACATTTTTTAAACTATTTCTGAATTGTACCAAAATAATTCAGATTAATTGTGGTGAAATTTGACATTCGAGACAAAATCAAATTGTCAAAGACTTACACCCCTAACAGATGGAGAGAGGATGTTCCTGCAGAGGTCAGAGGGGCTCTCAAACTGAAGTACAATATAGCATGAACTGCAGACTTTCAATGGGACGTGAGAGAAAAGAACATCTCTGACTAAAAGGGTGTTGAAGTGTTATCCCCATTGTTGATCTCATTCAAATGAATGTAAATTTTGTGTGTACTGAGGGCCTGTCAATCAAGCTAGAGTGCTCTACAGAAGTACTGGCAGCCTCAGTTAATATGGAATTAACATGCTGGATAAAATTTAATTTATGAATCAAATGTCTTCTCTGCCTAGGATTATACTCCAGCATTACAATTGTAGCACTATTGTACAGACAAAAGTTAGTTAACATATATTTTATATTTTTGTTTTCACAATTACTGGCACCCCTCAATTTTCAAGTGTGAGCCCACTCTTTGCCAAGTTAACGATGAGAACACATTCTGCCATGCAAAAAGAACTCCATATCTCTTCAGTCTTTGGCCCTCTTTGGATTGTCTGCTTGAATCTGCTTGAAGATCCAGAAGAAACCCAGAACCGTATCTGTGTTCTTGTCAAATTCCAATTAATTTTTCACAAACATTCCAGGTTTTTTTCACAAACATTCCAGGTTTTTGGTTATGGTTTGGTGAGAGCGGAAACTGTCGCTTAGCAACCATCCGAAAGACCTACTGAAGTACAGTGCTGTACTAAAATCACCCTTCATTTAATTTCCAGTCAAAGTTTTTTTTTCAGTTTTTAATATGTCACCCTTTGCCTTTATTACAGCTTTCATTCTTTTCAAGAGGCTTG